ACGAAAGCTTATGCTCCCAATACTTCTGTTAGTCTTAAAGGTGCCACAGGACCCTCTGTTGCTTTTTAATGAGATTCAGACTCTGGATTTGCCTAATGCTCTCTGGAAGTTTGTTCCATAGTTGGAACCCCTCCACTGAGAATACTTTGCTTAGCCATACTTTTTAATTTAGATTAAAGTGGATTTATATGTTTCATTATAAATATCAATTTTCACAATGTTGTATATTGTATGCAGTGTTGTTGTAGCTGTGTTGGTCCCAGGATATTAGAGAGACAGGTGGGTGAGGTGATATCTTTTATAGGACCAACTGCTGTTGGTGAAAGAGACAAGCTTTTGAGCTTACACATAACTCTTCTTCAGGTCCAGGAAATGTACTCAGTGTCACAGCTAAACACAAGGTGGAACAGATTGCTTAGCATAAATAGTTAACACATATTTTACATATTTAACTACTTATGCTAAACCTTGTGTTTAGCTGTAGCCTCACCCATCCTGTCTCTCTAATGTAGTATATTGTCATTTTCAAATTGCATTGAGCTGAAATGTAGGCATATAGGATTTGCCATATTATCCATCTAATTAGGTATTCTACCTCCAGGAGTTGCCCCATTTCATTTGTTTAATCAACTGGGCAATGCTATAACTGCATATGGGAGAAATTCTTTCCCAAATCCTGTAGGTGATCAGATTGTGCCCCAATACATGGCATTAGATTATCATTATTAATATCTCAATTTGCATAGCTATAAATGTGATTCATGGCCATAAAGTTATCCTACTCTGGTATTTGAGTTAATAACTTTCTGTAGCAAAACATTTCAGAGACTGACTACAGTATATGCCACATAAAGGACTAATATGCTGGATACAAAAGATTAATTTGGTACTTATATTTTCAGCTCAAATGGCTAGATATCTTTAAAAAGGAAAGATGATTTTGAGGATGAAAAGAGGACGCTAGTTTTAGTCTCATTTAAAGAGTGTATTTTAATGGATGTAAAAAGCATTTAGTGCCTTAGGTACACACTTTTGTGTAATATCATAAATCAAAATAAATTAGGAACATAAAATTATGCAAAATGGGGGAGTTAATGTTATTACTGTATGAGAAACTTTCTTCTGTTTTTCCAATGTATTTAAAATTGTAAGGAATATTGCATTAACCTAAGTTTTGGCATGTAGTTTGCCTTTTTGGGGGGATGGGGAGAGGCAATGTCTTCTTGTGTTTAATTGTTTGTTTTTGAGGGTGGGGTTAGAGGAAGCAGGCAGAAAACAGAATTAAAAGGAAGCTATGGCTTCAGGCCTACAACTGGCTCAATACAGGCAAACCCTTGCACCCACAAAGAGCATTCCTGACTATGCATTTACAGTACTCCATAGTGACAGAATTGTAACACCACTCTTAAGCTCAGGGCCATCCTTACGCAAAGCATGCAGCTGCATAGGGCACCAGGAAATTTGCCCCAAATTTCCTGGTGTCCTGCACAGCTGGGTGCTGCTCCAGCCCCTGCTCCAGCCCTGTCCCTGCTCCGCCCCCACTCCCCTGAAGATTGCAGCCAGGCCAGACCTTGCACTCACCGTGTGGTAAGTAGAGCGACCTGTCCCCAGCCTGCTCCACTCCCCTGGCTCCCAGGCACAGGGGGAGGAGAAAACCGCACCCCAGCACTTGCCGGCGGCACGGCTGGGAGCCAGGGGAGCGGAGCAGGCTGGGGGCCAGGTCACTCCACTTCCCACAGGAAATGGCCAGCCCCCTCCTCCATGGAGGCCAGCCCACCCCTCTCCCATGGATGCCTGGGGTGAGGCTCCACACAGCCCCCCACAGAGGCCTGGGGCCAGTCCCCTCCCCTGCTCGCGCCCATGGAGGCCTGGGGCCAGCCCTCCCCACTTCCCCCCTTGGCGGCCTGGGGGGTTGCATAGGGCACCAAAATAGCTAGAGACGGCCTTGCCTAAGCTAGCAGAAATTTTGTACTGTGCATGATTCAGTTGTTATTTTTACTACAATATCCCAGACAATTAAGACTAAACACATGTGGCATTTGAAGTTTGGGTCAAGATTTTTAAAAATATTAACTTAAATTTAGGCGTCTATATGTACATTCAGGCTCCCAAATAAGTGGCCTAATTTTCAAAAGTTCTGACCACTCAGCAACTCCTACCAATGGTTGCTCTGCACTTTTGAAAAATCAGACCACTTGGGGGAGCCTAAATGTTGATGTAAAAACCTAACTGTAGGCTCCTATATTTTAAAGCCTCTTCCTTCAAGTTCTACTGTTTTTTGAGATACCCACCCACAAAAAAAAAGCATCTTAAATTCTTGTACTTAAACAGATTTTCCTCAAGCTTAAGATAAAACAGAACGTATTTGAGACAATTATTAGCATGAGAAAATGGCGGGTTATAGGTCTTCTATGCAACTTTAACAATAAAGTTTATGGCTTACATATGCTGTAAAATATAGCAATGTTAGGACCTGATCCTGAATCTGATTATTGTGAACAGCCATCTGTGCCTGTGCAGAGCCCAAAAGACGACAGGGGTCAACCTTCATGGATCAGATTGCAGGGTCCTCGTTTACTTTATCAGCAATAATATATTGTAGGTGCCTCACTTACATAGCACATCCAAAATACTTACTTGCAAAAAGGTTTGTTGCCTTTACACCCGCAAACAATATCCTTTGGACAGAAGCCTTCTGTATTACCCAAGCAATTACCAAAGTCGGCAATGTCAGTGCAATTGGCTGTAAATTAAAAGAAACACAAACAACACTTCAACTGTAAAGTAATGCAGATGAGCATGCTGGATATTTGTCTGCATCAGAAACTCAGGATTTATGTGAAATAATCTTTAAACTGTAAGTCTTGCCCCTCCCCCCCGCAGTGAATAAGAATTGCTGTTTGATAGTTCTGAACCACTTTGAAGCCTCATTATTTCCTCCTTTTAAACATGAAGCCTTACCCCCACAAGTTATTTTATTCTGAATCCGTATCCTACAGTCTCATTTGTCCTCCATTAGCCAGTAAATCATACCCATCAGATGTAAGTATTATGATTTAATAACTGTGTTGCCATATCTGAATTTCTCTCAATGTGGTCATTTAAACCTTGCTAGACACCAGAAATCACGAGGCCTGCAAAACCTGTTAGAGGATCAGACCTTTACCTTTATTACAGAGTTTTTTAGTTAGATTTTTGGCTGACAGTTGACAAAATCAAGACACTGCAATAGCATACTAAATTAATCTAAGTATAGAATCACTGGCAGGAAGTGATGTCACAATGAGAATGGCCACTTAGGGTATATCTTGACTGCAGAAGTAATGATGTCATGGGGTGTCACCCTCATTGCCAGACTAGCGCCTCCTCTTGGTCATGCTGGGGATTAACTCAAGGCCGACACCCAGGTCCATTGTCTGCACACCGGCACTTTGTTTCTGTTCCAGCCAATGGCTCCTCTCTCAGCTCACAGAACTGCAGCGTCCTCTTTGCGACTCACCCCTCCGGCTGTGTCACCATCCAGGTTTCCTTCAGTGTTTCCCCCTTCTGGCGGGGGGTAGAGGGGAGGAGGTATCTCTGTCCAACAGTCCAGCCACTTCCCCTGTGGTGAGTGGGGAGGGACCCAGGCCCACCCACTACTCTGGGCTCCAGGCCAGGGACCCTGTAAATAGCAGCCTCTTGCTGCTCCTCAGTAACCTCCGTCAATGCTGTCATTTCTTGCAGGTACTGCTCTCGCATGGGAGGGACACAAGGGGGGGGCACGTGACCTCCCAATGTGACCCTCCATGTGACTCCTCCCCACCTCGCCCTCATCCCGGGGCCCCCATGCTCTCCCCGTCCCCTCTGACACCCCCCTTACCTGTCTAATATTTTACAACTGCATCTGTTAAACAGATGCAGTTGCAAAATAATGCTTTTGGCCCCTGCTGGCACCTGTACTTCCAGGTGTCATTGAAGATCCAGCAGGACCCCAAATTGAAAACTTCTTAAATGAAAGAAGAATAGGAAGGACAATCACCCCACTTTCCCTTAACACACTATCAGTGCCTCCTCTTATGTCCGAACTAAGGTTCTGCCAGCTTACCTTTATCTAAGGGTATGTTCACTACCAACGTTAAAACGCTGCCGCAGCAGCGCTTCAACATGGCTGTGTAGTCGCAGCACCACTGCTGGGAGAGAGCTCTCCCAGCGCTATAAAAAAACCCAGCCCCACGAGGGGAGTAGCTACCAGCTCTGGTGCACTACCACTTTGCAGCGCTGAAACTTGCATCGCTCAGGAGTGTGTTTTTTCAGGCTAGAACAGTCTTTGTACCATATACAACTCATAAGTCCATCTGCAAAGGATCAAGGAAATATGAAGGCTCCAGATTACCTTAAAGTCCTCAGTCCCATGGTTAGCATGCTCCCATCAAAGTCCAGAGGCTGGAGCAGGAATCAAAACCACTGTTTAAACACCTTCCGTCCCCCTCTTGAGGGCTCCTGACCAACTTAACAGCACAATACATATGCTAACAAACTTAAACAAAGGCTTTGTTTAAGTTTGTTAGCATATGTATTGTGCTGTTAAACCCATATAAAGAATGAATGCCCTCCCTAGCCTTAAGGAGCAGAGTGCAGCTCCACCCCACCTCTCCTCTGGGGGGGGGGGGGGCCCTAGCCATCCCAAATCTTTCCAGTACTCCATACCCACTAAAAATCTCTTGTTGGTACTGCGTACTGGAGCGTACCTCCCTACTTGCACTCCTGGTTCCAGTTCAGGGCTCTCGAGCTAGGTAAGCAGAATCAGGATTCTTTGACTCTGACAATACCCTGAGCTTCTTTTCCTATCCTCTCCTGGATCTCTGCAAGCTCTCCTGCCTGTCCTCCTCCTGGGATGTTGTCTTTGGGCAGTTCTTGAGTAGCTTGCTGGCAGGATCTCCTTTCAGTCTGCTCACTCCTCTGGTAGCCACCATGCTGCTCTGCTTCCCAGCTACTGTGAGACTTCCAATCAGCAGTGCCTGTACTAACCCTTTGGTCACTGGTCCAGTGTAGGGTAAATAAACCCCAGGACACAGGGATATTAGCAATCTTCACTAGCTATGGATAGACCACAGGATGGGGCAGCCTGCTTCCAGATGCCAATAGCAACCCACTTCTGGTTTGGTATGGGTGCCCTCATGTGTCTCCTGGCGCTGAAGGGTCAAGGCAAGTTCCTCATGTAGCTCCATGAAGGTGTCCTTCCTCATGCAGAAGTTCTGGAGCCACTGCTGATGATCCCCATATGCATGACAAGGTAGTCCCAACCACTCTGTGCCTGTGGTTCTGCTCCAGAACCACTGGTCAGCATGGGAATTCCATAGCTATTAAGCTCACATTAGATGTCTCTCCTTCGCCATGTCTGCATGCAGCCCGCATGATCTCCTAACCAAGACCTCTGCTTCATTCTCAGGCAACAAGTCACTGCTGAAATGCCTTCTCTTTGCCTCCAGTTGTAAAAACAGGTGTTGCATTAATGCCAACAGCTAGAATAGGTCATGATCCTAAGCTGGAGCCATGCCTTGGCATCTGCTGGAATGGTGGCTGCTGACAGAAGTGAGGATCATACAGAGGTGGAAGTACTTTAGTTTACTGCATTGGTGGGCTATGGATTCTTATGTCCAGGAGCCCAGGGAGGATACAAGTTCTCTCACAATACACTGGGAAAAAATGCATAAAGCGGATCAGCTTAGTGCAGCACTAAGAACCATGGGCTATCCCCCCAGAAATACTAGTATCTAGCCTGGGTTAGTGCAGTGCCAATGTGGACACAGATAAAGTGTCGCTTAGCATCATGGACACGCCACATCCAGGCTTCCCATACCTTGCTACTCAGACCCAGGTGAACTGCAGTGAAGGCATACCCTTAGATTCCAGACTCCAGAGAGGCAATAAGAACATCTATTCCATTGCTTTAGGGAGAGTAAGTAGGAAATTAAGAGAGAGGACATAAGATATCATGGGGGGAGGCAAAAGGAAGGAAGGGTCCCCCAACAAAGTACAATTCTTCCAACAGACCAGAAATTTCTCAAAGATCTGAGAAGGGTAGGAAGTAATTTGGGAGCATTTGAACAAAGGAGAAGACTAATACTGTTTCTACAGCAAACTTATATTAGCTGACAGAACACAAATGGAAGTGACTCCTAGAGAACAAAAAAAGAAAGGTAAAGGTACATTTGGATTTTGTTTTTTTAGAGATGTCATGAGAAAACATTAAGGGAGTTAAATAAACAAACAAACAAACTGATTTGCAATTCCATTAACATGTAGATAGAGGTGGGATGGATTTCCTTTAAAAACAAATATATGCTTAAGCACTTTGCTGGATTAGGGACCATAGTATTGGAGCACCCTGTAGGACTGAGACCATGTAAAGTCTCCTGGGTAGCCACTCTATGCCGGCGGGAGAGCTCTCACGCCAGCATAATGAGCCCCCCACCAACGAGCGACAGTAGCCATGTTGATGGGAGAGTGTCTCTCTCCAACATAGTACTGTCCACATTGGCATGTTTGTTGGTGAAACTTTTGTCAGACGGGGGGAGTGCTTTTTCACATCTCTGACTGACAAAAGTTTTACCAACAAAAGTGACAGGTATTTTTATATCTCACATGCCTACTTTTCTATAGATTATCATAACCTTGCAGAATTCAAAAAGCCTAGAATTCTAATAACATATACACATTGTTAGTTATCATAATAGCATCCTTACATCTTTGCTTTTTTCCTATTTCAACATCATTTCCACCTAGCACAAGAGAAGAATGTTGTCCACTAGGACAAAGTGTGAATAGGTAAGCAGGACTTTGCTTGAAAACATCATTTTTCTATATTGCAAAGAAACCTAAATATTTCTTACGTTCTGAAGCCTGTTCAGTCAGCAAAACACTCGACAGTAAGACAATGAGAGGTAAGAAGTCGCTGAAATTGGACATTGTGAAGATGTTACAGTAAGAGACGACTCAAATTCTTCTCCTCTATTTGTTGAACAGCTGTTAAAAGTAACAGCTATTACTTTTGCTTTTATCATAGCAGATCAAAGATCACGGATTTTGAACTTGGTTTATAGCATCCTTCCCTGCACATAATTACTAATTAACCTCTCTCTAATAAACTTACTGGCATTTTTATTAGCATATAAATCTTCTATGGTTACTAAATATGTCTATAAAAATCTTTACTATTAACCCCTTTCTTTCTGAACTCTTGTAATCATGTAAATAAAATCACGTTAGTGGCATAAAGGGTTAAAGAGATTCAATAAGAACATTTATTTGTTTAGCTCTGTTCTTTCTTTAATGTAGCTTTTCACAACAATTTAGTTTTCTGAGGACTGAAATATTGTGGGTGAAATTTAATAGTCTATGATACGCAGGAGGTTAGAATAGATAATCTAATGGTCCCTTCTGGTCTTAAACTATATGAAATCTATGAAACTGAAGCCTTATTAACACAATGAACATAAAGCATTTCATTAGTAAACATTTTTAGAATTAACAAAAAGATGTATAATGACTGTAGAAAAAAAATCTCTCTTTTTCCTATTTGGCACAACTTCTGTGTAACAGTTATCAAATAAGAGAAGAGAAAAAGAAAAAATCAAAATGTCAAACCTAAAACATTCAGTAACATTTTAGTATCTAATATTTCATTTTATAATTAATATTTGTACAGCAAAGATTCATGTATCTTACTTCACTGACACAAAAGCACCCAAAAAGTCTGTAATATTTCATTTCATTGGACTGGAAGAAGGAGAACACTGAAAGAATACTGTGGCCTACATCTATCAAGACATCTTGATATCAGTTAGCTATAGAGCTACGGTGATTCTGGAGGACATTGATCAAAAAGCCATTTACTCAGGAATAAATGCACTAACATTTATTAACATGCTGTCAGGCCAATAATGGCTTCCAAACATTTTCCCATTTGGAGCTTAGAAATGCTGAGACATTTTCATGTAATTTTATGTAAAGGAAGTGGGCTCTCTCTTTAGGTGCAATTGAGCTCTGCTTGATGCATACCCAGTGGAAATAAAAGTGGCTTTACTTTACCTTTTAAAACACACTCCTTTCAATCTTGGTTGGCTGAACTCATTTTGGCCCCCACCACAACTTAGAGCACCTCAAGGTTGCTCTCATATGTACCTTACTGTAATGGTCCCTAAAGGACCTTTCTGGATGCCAAGCATTATTGGAATATAGTATCACTCTATCCATACCTCTTTCCCCTGGCCATACCATAGTTTGGTTACAAAACATGTTCATGACATATTCAATTTTTTGCTATGATTTCTATGGCTGACAGTATTTGCACTTTGATTTTACCAATCACTTCTCCCAAAGTTTAAAATGAAACACCTACATCTTTACTATCTAATGCACATACTATCGTCCAAGTTTATACATCTTCAATTCTATTTCTGAAGGGGGGTATTTACAATTCCATGTTCTTTGCCCTAAGTTTCCAGTAAGACAAGCTGATAATTGTTACACTACAGAAATTTCCCCTGAACTTTGTTCTTTCTGTATATGAGGAAATAAACTTAGATTTATTTCAAACTGAACTTTAGCTTTATTCAGGCCACTGTCACAATCCTGTAGCTCTATTGACTTCAGTGGAGTAAACAAAGATCTTACACTTATAATATGCTTTTCAGCCCACAGGTTCACATAGCACTTAAACTGACATGCAAATTATAGAGAGGGATCATTTATCCAGCACTGAAATGCAGCCATGATTTTAGCAGCACACAAAGACACTATATAAAAGTGAGTGGTAGTAGACCACTGCTGAGCCAGAAGTGAAGAGGGAAGGCAGGGAGGCAGAATGGACCCAGATACACCTGCAGGAAAACTGCAAGGACACTATCATGGTTTTCCTGAGGTTGGTCTTTTGGAAAAGTTAATGCAGGGTTTGGGCCAAGGGAATTGTACCAAGAAAGATAAAGATATCAATGCAAGGGTCTTCATAGGGTATGTCTATACTGCAATTAAACACCTGTGGTTGGCCTGTGTCAGCTGACTTGGGCCCACAGGTCACAGACTGTGTGGCTATTAAATTGCAGTGGGGACATTTGGGCTCAGGCTGGAACCTGGGGTCTTGAACCCTCAGTCCAGCCCAGAGCCCGGGCTCCAGCCTGAGCCCAAACATCTCCATTGAAATTTGATAGCACTGCAGTCTGAGACATGTGAGCTCAAGTCAGCTGACACAGGCCAACCGCAGGTGTTTTACTGCACAGTAGAAATAACCAAAGAAGTCTGATCAGACCCAATGTAACATCCTTACGTGAAATTTGGTCTAGACTCTGGGATTAACATTCCTACATGACAAAAAAATGCCATGGAATCTTTAATGGTCACAAGTGGTCAGGAACTTGATTTCTCTTGCTGCACAATGCCTGCTAACCTCCATCCCAGCACAGTGGTTCAATAGCAAATAAGAGAAAATGTGCCAGCTATAGTGCGGACTATACCAACACTACTTCCTGCGGCTTCCTGGCATTCCTGTTAGGCCTCTTATCCAAGAACTGAGCCAGCTCAATGTGGTTTAACATGTGAGGTCTGATGGGATCACAACACAAATGGGAATTGATTGGGTGTCCTCTAGACTGAGTTTGTTTTTTAAATTTGTGGAATGAAGTCTCTCTAGAACAGGGGTGGCCAACCTGTGGCTCTGGAGTTAATATGCAGCTGGAGCTACAGGCGCTAACTTTCCAATGTGCCAGTAGAGCTCACTGCTCAACCCGGCTCTGCCCCAGGTCCTGACCTGACTCCACCCCTTTCCCCAAGGGTCCTGCCCCTTCTCCAGAGCCTGCTGTGCCCTTGCTCCTCCCCCTTTCCCCCCCCCCAAGAGCTTCCTGTATGCTGTGAAACAGCTGATTGTAGTGGGCGGGAGGCATGGGGAGGGAGAGGGAGGCGCTGATCAGTGGGGCTGCCGGTGGGCAGGAGTCACTGGGGGTGGGGGCGGGGAGCTGATGAGGAGGCTGCTGACATATTACTGTGGCTCTTTGGCAATGTACATTGGTAAATTCTGGCTCCTTCTCAGGCTCAGGTTGGCCACCCCTGCTCTAGAAGAAATAAAAATATATAGTTGATGGGGGGGGGGAAAAATCAGCAACTGTTCAGAAATACATTTATTTTGGCCTGATGATGCAAGCTGCTCTAACCAGGAAAGTGCAGAGATTTATCAAGACTTGGTAGAGACCCTTTCGTAGGCTGAAAAAAATCTCTTGAAGGGCAAATTCCCTTAATTAAAAAAAAGTTGCAGAAATGTGCACACTGCAGCAAATAGAAGAAGCAGAAGCTAAAAAGTGCACAGAGACACATGGAAAGATTTATACTTGGTATGAAATAGAAAAGAGAGGAAAACAAGCAGAGAACTTTAAGGCCGAGAAAAGCTAATTGCCTGATCAGGCTGCAGTGAGGAAAGACAATTGCTGGACTGCCCTTATTGTCCATTTCCTCCCACGCCTCCTGACCAGCCATACTCTCCCTTTCCATACATATTCTCCTCTCCGAGCCCTGAATCATCTTGCACACCCAAGACTTCCACTGCTCTCCCTGTCATGCCTAATGCTCCCAACATACTGGCATGTCTCCCAATTCACTTATCTTTGTGACAGAGTCCATCCCCTACCCAAAGAAATTATAGGAGAGAACACTGGGGACAGCCCTCCGGTATCCCCTTCTGGGCAGAGAACATAGAGCTGGTACAATGGAAAGCAATTGCTCCCCATAAATCAACTGTGTTTAGCTCCCCTCTGTCTTTCTTTTTCCAGTCTCAATGATTGATTTCAGTGATCCCAACAGCCTGCTATGCCATGAACCTGAGGCTGGGGAAATGTGAGTATTGTGATGCTGATTTCCATTGTGACTACCCATCTGCTCAGGGGCTGCTGGTTTAAAAGAAAGTAGTAGGTCACAAGGATAAGTAGGGGTAGGATGTAACTAAGGCAGAGGCAAGGAGTGGAGGCTAAATTACCACTTTAGTGAAGGAAAGAAAGAGGAGGAGGAAGAAACATTTTTGTTTCTTCCCTGCCCCAAAGTGCTTTTTGAAATGGTGAATGAGGAGGAATATCTCCCAAACGGCAGCCCAGCAGTGCTCCATCTCCTTCCTGGGAAGTAATCAGTCCTCTGCCTCCTGCTTTCCACAGGTCTGGCCTTGGCGCTGGCGCCATGAGCTGTTTCCGAATCCGCCCGGCAGAGCCCCAGGACTGTCCTGAAATCCTGCGCCTCATCAAAGTAAGAGGGACAGTGAAGTGTGCAGGCATCTTTCCCTCAGTCAGTGTCTTTCCAAGTTTCCTTTTTAAAGCTTACTACTATTTTCTGTGCTAGGCATAAACCCCAGTGAGCATCTTTATTAGCTACTACTGTTAATGTGCTGGTGGATAATGGTACTAAGACAAATTAGATAGATGTCTCAGACAGTTAGAAGTAGACGTATGAGGTGTAGACATAACTCTTGCCTAACCTCTCTGAGACCCTGTCTTTTTGTTCCTCCAATCCATTTTCCCTTTTAACTCCATCCAAAGCACATGACCACCTGCCCCCTTCATGTCTTTCTCTCAGTCCTATTTCCCATCCTTCCTCCACGCTGCTCCCTTCTGGTCGTGGTCTGCCACGCTTTAATCCTCTTTGCCTTCAGCTCCTTTCATTTCTTTCAAAAGACCATAAACCTCCCTACAAGATAAGTGACCTGGTAACAAGACCAGGGGGAAAAAAAAAAATCAAACTATAATCATGGAGCTACCAAGACATACAGCCCCGTGCTAAACTTCACCACTCACTCACACTGCTTTTCATTACATCCGGCCCCTTATAGTGATTAGTATGCTATATCTTTACACTGTATAGGGGCCTTGTCTCTAAACACCTAGCACACTGTTGGCACTGTACAAATATTCTAATCAATTATGAATAAAGAATGGGAAGAAATTCAGTTTTCCCTGACATGTAGGCTATAGATGTTTGCTTAAGTTTATATAGAAATTTGTTGAAATGTAAGTTGGCCCAAAAATCTATTTCCTAAAAATACACTTGATGATAGTTGGACAAGGCCTGGTAAAATACGAGTGAAGTAAAATGAGACAATTTAGAAAAGCAAGCTGGAGATAAGTTATGGCATAAACCTAGGTCATGTTGTAAACGTATTTTGGTTCCAACTGTTTTTTACAAGTATTTTAGATAAAATGTTAATATTTTGAACAACGCGATCTATATAGTTAGTTATGGGTATGGTATTTACACAGATATTAATTAAAACGATGCTTCATGTTAACTAGCAAATGAGAAAGTAGAAAATACTTAATTATAGTAGCGGAAATACAGATAGGGTAAAAGGTGGATTTAATGTTAATTAATTAAGCCCCATTATTATGTTGACAGCACACTAATTTTATATTAGAGGTGCCCATCCTCCATCAAGGTTACAGAAAGGATTATGCCTCGTTTAGGGACTAATCACCCTAAATGCATCATTTCACTTTAGAATATAACCCTGCAATGCATTTATACTCATAATGTAATGCCCGTTTGCTTAACTATTTTATATTAAATAAAGTTTTTAATTTTATCACTCATTGTGTCATTCACAGTCCGCCGCTAAATTATATTTTCTGTAACCACCCTGGAGGCTTGAACCTTAAAGAATTCAGTTTGATTTTATTCCTTATTTTTAAACTTACTAATTAGGAACACATAAATCAAAGGTTACATATGTGAGATTCATTAGTTGTTAGTCTCCCAAGGAAAGTAATAGAAACCTCATCACTCGGCATTTTAAAATGCAGACTGGATAAAGCCCTTAGGATGGAATTCACTTCTTCAAGGATGGCCTATACCAGCCCCTCTGTGCTGTCAATGTCCCATGTTAACCCTGTGTGTGAAGGCAAAGTGACTCAAAGGAGTCCCTCTCTATCCCCTGTATACCATGCAGATGGGCTCCATGACAACTCTAAACATACCAGAATAGAGAAGCAGCCTGGGCTTTGGGCGTGCCTCTTGGAGCCACGCTTATGTGGACCAGTAGATAGGACCAATTACCAATCGCCAACAGATTGCACTGCAGCTCGGAGTCTTGCCCATGTGCTGGAGGTGATGATAGATTCCATGTCCTCAATCCCACACCTAGCTCCCCCTAAAAAGCTTGTGTACTCACCTTCTGCATTGATCTTCTCTTCAAGACTGCACAATGTACTCAATTTAATTGAGTTTGATTTTTTTTAAATTGCCCTTCCTAAGATATTCTCTCTCTCTATATATATTTAAATAAAAATCTATTCAGGTTTACCAATGCCATAAAAACATTTCTCAAATAAAATACCCAATGCCCACAAAAAATAGGTTCTCCTACCTACTTCTCTGTTCCCCTTTCTTTTTGATCACTCCTGGACATGGTTATTTCTACCTATCCTGCACAACAAACTGCCCTTCATTTCTTTCTCTATGCCTTACTCCATGACACCTGCAATTACCTCCCATATCTGGTCAGAAATGCCTGCACCCTCTTCACAGACCTCTTTAAAAGTCCTTTCAACACGAAAGCTATGGTGTTCTTATGACAGAAACATTAAAAAAAAAAAAGGAAAAGAGAAATGGCAAAAGGGGCACTAACAAGAGTCATGGTTAGCTTCAAACATAACCATTTTTCTTCTTGTTTCATACCATTTCCTATCCTTTAGTTGCACATTTTCTCACTAGATTGGAAACTATTTGGGAAAGACTGTGTCTTCTTCCTCATCTGTAAAGTTCCTAACACATTTTTGCTGATAAATAATTAGTAGTACTAATACTCTGGCTTTGGGCACGGAGTGGTGAGTTTTACTTTAAGATTGTGGCAGGTCCTGACTGGTGCATTAAGCAGTGAGAGCCTGCAATATCCCCACCCTCTTTGTGCCCCTCTGGAAGGGCTAGTCACAGTTATCGTGGATAGAATTGGCCACTGTGGGAAGAGCTGAGGTGTGGACACAACCATGTCCCTGTCCCTTCCTGCCAGTTGAGATGACCCATTATGGGTGCAAAAGCTTATACTATCCCATTTCAAAGACCGGAGTAACTTCAACTTCAGTGTGCACTACCCCTGAGCCACAGCAGGAGTTAGGTAGAATTCTCACAGTGACAAACACTGCACAATAGCCCAAGTACAATCCCCACAATGTGGCCAGTGGCTTACAGGCACAATCTGGCCCTTACTATTCATATTTATCTCTCCCTATCAGGCCTTTAAAGACATCCTCTTCTCTAGAGGTGATGTGTCTAAGACTTACATCTAGAAAAAAAAAAACTGATCTTGTTCCCAAACTGGGATCCTCCAGTTACCATTTTAATTTTTTTATTTCCGGTCTTCGCTCTCTAGTTTTTGACTGCATCTCACCTACAAGTCAGGGAGGGTATTACATCATGGACCCACAAAACAATGAAGGGCTAGTAAGGTTAACAAGCAAAGGAATGATATAACATTCCTCTATGCAAAAAATAAGCCCAGATAATTGTAGGCTAAGCTAATATGCTCCTACACCTGTTGGAACAGTATTCAGAAGTATGAAGTCAGTGCAAGTGATACAGCAGTCCTTCCCACAGATAAAATCTTCACCACCTTTACAAAGGGTTCATTCCTCAATGGTCCAAGAGGAGAGTTTTCTAATCAGTTCTGAAATTCAGGTCTTCTGCAGGGGTAGCTAAAATACTGCAATCTTTTGGAGTTAATTTTCACTAATATGGCAGCAGTTTTCTGGAAAATACTGAGCCAGCCTTAACAGCAGCAATTTTTCCATCATCATTGATAGAGTTCTGCTGATGTGACAAGACAGCATGCTACATCCTTCACAAAATACTTAGGGATGTTCTTTCTAATAACAAACAAAAAGTATCACTAGCGGTTGGAGAAGATTAATGGAAATCGAAACTCCCATATTCTGTTTCTAGCTTTACTACCCAACTAAGGCCTGGTCCCCACTAAGCCCCCACTTCGGACTAAGGTACGCAAATTCAGCTACGTTAATAACGTAGCTGAATTCGAAGTACCTTAGTCCGAACTTACCGCGGGTCCAGACGCGGCAGGAAGGCTCCCCCGTCGATGTCGCGTACTCCTCTCGGCAAGCTGGAGTACCGGCGTCGACGGCGAGCACTTCCGGGATCGATCCCAGAACATTGATTGCCTGCCGCCGGACCCTCCGGTAAGTGAAGACGTACCCTTACTTCAAGACCGTGGAAGTCTTGGGTGTAACAACTACTCTCTGCTTCCATTCACCTGTCTCACAAGTGTTGTGAAGCATCATTAGTTAAAAAAAGTCACACTTGACATTTTTAACACCTACATGCCGTACAAGCGACACCTAAAGTTACTATAAAACTGACTAAAGAAAAATATTTTCTCTATTTTTCCAGGTAGTGTATAGTCAGTATCACTATTTCTTATATGTAGTTCTCCTGTTTTTTTATGTTTTTCAAACAAGGGAGATTTTGTTTAACAAAAAAATAAAAATGGAATTGTAAAATCACAAAAATTGGAAGGGGGATTTGGAATGGGATAGTCTATGAAACTACTTCTCTTTTTAAAGTTGACTAGATTTCAAGCTGACAGCCTTTAATGATAAAAAAGTGCTTTACTATTCTGATAAAAAGGTGCTATGTAAGTGTAAAAGTATTATTATGGTCAGATTGTGCTCAGTTTATACAATAACACATATGCTGCAGTTTTTTTCCAGTTTCCATAGTGAACTAGAATGTAGCAGATATAGAGCAACAGTTTCTGCCTACCTCACTTGCAGAGCTCACTGCAGGATTGGGGCCTAAGGTAGCATTTTGCATCAAGATCAAAGTTTAGCATAAACCTTAATATTTTGCATAGTATTCTGTAAAGACTGCAACTATTGATGAAACCTCAAATTCCAATTTGTTCATCCGACAGGAACTAGCTGCATATGAAAATATGCCAAATGCAGTAAAATTAACAGAAAAAGGTAAGATTACACGCTAAATAAAAACACCTATGGAAACCTATACATTATACAGTAGAACATCAGAGTTACGAACACTAGAGTTACAAACTGACCAGTCAATCACACACCTCATTTGGAACTAGAAGTACAGAATCAGGCAGCAGCAGAGAAAAAAAAAACTCCACAAAACCCCCCCAGCAGTACAGTGTTAAACATAAACTATTAAAAAAAATATAAAGGGAAAGTTTAAAAAAAAGATTTGTCAAGGTAAGGAAACTGTTTCTGTGCTTGTTTCATTTAAATTAAGATTCAGATACATTTTTTTCTTCTGCATAGTAAAGTTTAAAAGCTGTAGTAAGTCAATAGTCAGTTGTGAACTTTCAAAAGAACAACCATAATGTTTTGTTCAGAGTTATGAACAACCTCCATTCCTGAGGTGTTCGTAACTCTGAAGTTCGACTGTATATAAAAGAACTATGTACTGTATATTTTTGAAAGATTATGATGAATATTGCTGTTAGAGGCAATGTGTTATAGTAGGACAGACAAAAAAAAATGAGTTCTATTCCCAACTCTGCCAATGGCTTACTGCTACTTGCAGTTACACTTAGGCTATGTCTACACTAGTGCCTACATTGGCAAAACTTATGTCACACAGGGGTGTGAATATTCCACCCCATTTGAGTGACATAAGTTACACTGACATAAGCCTGAGTGTGCTACGTCACCAGGAGAGTTTCTCCCGCTGACATAGTTACCGCCACTCATTGGGAGTGATTTAATTAGGTCAACGGGAGAGCTCTCTCCCGTCGGCATAGAGCAGCTACACAAGAAATCTTACAGCAGTGCAGCTGCATCGGTACAGCTGTGCCACTGTAAGCTCTCTACTGTAGACATAGACTCGTAGACTTTAAGGTCAGAAGGGACCATTATGATCTTCTAGTCTGACCTCCTGCACAACGCAGGCCACAGAATCTCACCCACCCACTCCCTGACCTATGTCTGAGCTATTGAAGTCCTCAACTTGTGGTTTAAAGACTTCAAGGTGCAGAGAATCCTCCAGCAAGTAACCCGTGCCCCACGCTGCAGAGGAAGGTGAAAAATCTCCAGGGCTCTGCCAATCTGCCCTGGAGGAAAATTCCTTCCCTACCCCAAATATGGCGATCAGCTAAACCCTGAGCATGTGGGCAAGACTCACCAGCCAGACACCCATGAAAGAATTCTCTGTAGTAACTCAGATCCCACCCTATCTAGCGTCCCATCACAGGCCATTAGGCATATTTACTGCTAATAGTCAAAGATCAATTAATTGCCAAAATTAGGCTATCCCATCATACCATCCCCTCCATAAACTTATCACGCTTAGTCTTTATGCCAGATATGTCTTTTGCCTCCACTGCTCCTCTTGAAAGGCCATTCCAGAACTTCACTCCTCTGATGGTTAGAAACCCTGGTCTAATTTCAAGTCTAAACTTCCTGATGGCCAGTTTGTTCTTGTGTCCTCATTGGTACTGAGCTTAAATAATTCCTCTCCCTCCCTGGTATTTATCCCTCTGATATATTTATAGAGAGCAACCATATCTCCCCTCAGCCTTCTTTTGGTTAGGCTAAACAAGCCAAGCTCTTTGAGTCTCCTTTCATAAGACAGGTTTTCCATTCCTCAGATCATCCTAGTAGCCCTTCTCTGTACCTGTTCCAGTTTGAATTCATCCTTCTTAAACATGGGAGACCAGAACCGCACACAATATTCCAGATGAGGTCTCACCAGTGCCTGGTATAACGGTACTAACACCTCCTTATCTCTACTGGAAATACCTCACCTGATGCATCCCAAGACCGCATTAGCTTTTTTCACAGCCATATCACGTTGGCGGCTCAGTCGTCCTGTGATCAACCAATACTCCGAGGTCCTTCTCCTCCTCTGTTACTTCCAACTGATGCGTTCCCAGCTTATAACAAAAATTCTTGTTATTAATCCCTAAATGCATGACCTTGCACTTTTCACTATTAAATTTCATCCTATTACTATTACTCCAGTTTACAAGGTCATTCAGATCTTCTTGTAGGATATCCCGGTCCCTCTCTGTATTGGCAATACCTCCCAGTTTCCTGTCATCTGCAAACTTTATTAGCACATTCCCACTTTTTGTGCCAAGGTCAGTAATAAAAAGATTGAATAAGATTGGTCCCAAATCCGATCCCTGAGGAACTCCACTAGTAACCTCCTTCCAGCCTGACACTTCACCTTTCAGTATGACCCGTTGTAGTCTCCCCTTTAACCAGTTCCTTATCCACCTTTCAATTTTTATATTGATCCCCATCTTTTTCCAGTTTAGCTAATAATTCCCCATGTGGAACTGTATCAAATGCCTTATTGAAATCGAGGTAAATTAGATTCACTGTGTTTCCTCTGTCTAAAAAAATCTGTTACCTTCTCAAAGAAGGAGATCAGGTTGGTCTGGCATGATCTACCTTTTGTAAAACCATGTTGTATTTTGTCCCAATTACCATTTACCTCAATGTCCTTAACTACTTTCTCCTTCAAAACTTTTTCCAAAACCTTGCATACTACAGATGTCAAACTAACAGGCCTGTAGTTACCTGGATCACTTTTTTTCCCTTTCTTAAAACTAGGAACTATGTTAGCAATTCTACAGTCGTACGGTACAACCTCTGAGTTTACAGATTCATTAAAAATTCTTGTTAATGGGCTTGCAATTTCATGTGCCAGTTCCTTTAATAGTCTTGGATGAAGATTATCTGGGCCCCCCGATTTAGTCCCATTAAGCTGTTCGAGTTTAGCTTCTACCTCAGATGTGGGAATATCTACCTCCATATCCTCATTCCCATTTGTCATCCTACCATTATCCCTAAGCTCCTCATTAAAGACTGAGGCAAAGTATTTGTTTAGATATTGGGCCATGCCTAAATTATCCTTAACCTCCACTCCATCCTCAGTGTTTAGCGGTCCCACCTCTTCTTTCTTTGTTTTCTTCTTATTTATATGGCTATAGAACCTTTTACTATTGGTTTTAATTCCCTTTGCAAGGTCCAATTCTACATGGCTTTTGGCCTTTCTCTCTTTATCCCTACATGTTCTGACCTCAATAAGGTAGCTTTCCTTGCTGATCCCTCCCATCTTCCAGTCCTTGTAGACTTTCTGCTTTTTCTTAATCACCTCTCTGAGATGCTTGCTTATCCAGCTTGGTCTACAACTCCTGCCTATGAATTTTTTCCCCTTTCTTGGGATGCAGGCTTCTGATAGTTTTTCCAACCTTGACTTGAAGTAAATCCAGGCCTCCTTTGCCTTTAGATCCACAAGTTCTTCAGTTCAATCCACTTCCCTAATTCCTTAATTTTTTAAAGTTAGCCCTTTTGAAATCAAAAACCCTAGTCACAGATCTATTTTTGTTTA